GGATCAGGAATAAAAGATAAACTTTGAAAATCATCATAAGGCATACGAACTTTTCTGCATACTTTGCAATTATGTCTGTTACATTTCATTACCTAATATATTATATAATAAGCTGTTAGCTAATAAACTAAAATTTTAATTATAAAAATTTGTATAAATTATACTTGAAACATATAATTTCTAATACGGCAATGGCTTTTTACAAAGTCTTGATATAAGTTTCTTTTCAGTAATTGATTCATTGTAGTCATTGATTTATCTAATTCTGGATCTATTTTAGCCATTATCTTTATAATAAAAAAAATTTTAGTAAATTTGAAATATAATAATATACTTATTAAATTAATTAATTACTTTAAAAAAGGTATCAATATCTTCTTCAGATGCTGGATTATTTATTTCAAAATAATCATCATGTAACTTTAATCTTCTAATACGATCAAAAAGTATATTTTGTATTTTATCAATTGATAATTTTAATTCAGATTTTAAGGTAGAATTATTTTCTGCTTCCTTACGAATTGCATCTAGTGTTTGTAATTTTTAAAAAATAAATTCTGACTCTTCAGACATTTGTTCACGTTGAAGAGCAACATTTTGAAAACCAAGATTAAGAATAGACATTATTCGCTCAGCAGGATTTGCCCAACTATGAAAAGGTGCTGTACGTGCAGCAATTACTAAATCAAAATCCCCATTTAAAAAAAGTGAAATAAGTGAAACTTGAACAGATCCAAAATTGCACCGATGATCAGGCCCTCCATCTGTATATAATATAATAATTTCTGGTAGTGAATCAGCATTATAATAGTGTTGTTCTATTGAATCGTAGAATTCTGTAGCATGTCTAAGAGCTGAACTAGCTTGAAAAGTAGTATCTTTTAATGCAATATATACTTGTCCAACATAAAATGATTGAGTCGGATCTTCAGGAATTTTAGTAAATAATGAAACTGAAGGAGTTATTGAAAGTTTTGTAAAATCATGATCAGATGCTGAAAGCTCAGTTTGTTTTAATGTAGCAGATTTTTTATTTCGAACTCCAGTACTTGTTGGTACTTCTTCTCCAATTGGTACTTTGTGTTTATCATCAGCAAAAATAAGACATGTATATTGTCTGTACTTTGATGCAAATTGTCGAATATATTTAAAAATTGCTTGACAATAGTGAACATCAATATGAGATTTTCTTAATTGTCGAGTTTGTACCATATATTTAATTTGAAATCGTCCTGTATACTGTGTACTAGCTTTATACCAATTATTTTTTGGACAGAACTGATAAGAAATCTAGCGATCAGATGGTACTAAACAATTATTAGAAAGTGGATGTTCATTACGCTTATTTTCTAATCGTTCTACAATAGATTCTCTTAAATCTCTAACTGAAATAAAACTTGGCAAATAAAGTATATTGCTATGACGCCTTTCATGTACTGATAAAAGATTTTCACTAAAATAAGATTCCATTTCATTCCAAAATTCATCAAATTTAGTGCCTTTAAATCCATTATTTTTGCGCATATCAATACAAATTTCAGGATCACCAAGTTCAAGCATTGTTCTTAATCTTTGGTCTACTTCAGCAGAGTATGAATTGTCTACAACACTAGAGTCATCAACTAAGTCATGATATAAATAACGTAATACACTAGGAGTAATTTTTGTAATTAGAGAATACTATTTAATAAATAAAACTTATTAATATCATTATATATTAAATACTTTAATATAATACACATTAATATATAAAAAATTTACTTTTGCAAACATATGCCTTCTCATATATCGGGTAGAAAATTGAGGTAATAATGATTGTGTTCGAATTATTGCTTGAGCATTTTTTGTATCATCACGTAATTCAAAATCTTCAGGAATTTTCCAAATAAAATTTAAAGTTCCTAAATAATTTCCATGATGATATCGATATAACATAATTGTAGAATCAATAGTAAGATTTGATAGATAAAAGAATCGTTTTTCTTTGTTTTCAGGTAAAAATTCTTCAAGTGATATAATTTCATATTCACTTGAATCTTTAATATGTTCAGCAATTGGTAAATATATTTCTTTAATAGCATTTTTTGCACATGGAGTTCGTATTTCTAAATTACTATTATTTTCAGGACTTCGTGCTGGAGCAGATGCAAGTTGAATTCTTTGCATATGCTGGTTAACTGTCTCTAAATAGTTAGCATATGTACGAGCAACAGAACACAGTTCTAAACTAGCAGTTACAACCTGATCCCAACATAATTTACTTGCCCATGGTTCTAGAATACACTCCTCTAATTTATCAGCATAAAATTCTAAATCTTTACGCTTTAGTGTAGTTTTATGGTGAGATCCATTTTTATAATATGTATTTTGTTGATATAACGGTAATTGAAAAAAAAAATGTTGGTATTTTAAGGCTACGTAACTTAAGAGTCTGATGCTTATCATCCAAATAATAAAGGAGAGAGGTAAATTTATTAACGAATGATTTACCAGCTATATTATGTGTTCCATATTCCCAACCAAGGTTATTACTACGTAAAAGTGCTAAAAGATCATTGTATAAATGATCATTACGATTTGTTGTCAGTTTTGAATCAGGCAAAACTTTTTTGGATGCTGCACTCATCATTTCATTAAAAGCATTATATGTAGAAGGAACAATGCTTGAAGAGGATTTAGGATATTCATCTTGAATAGTAAACCTAATATGTGATACATTTTGTTCTTCTCGTGTACACAGCTTTAAACTTCCATTTATACCAGACACAACATTGTGCCATGTATTTGTACCCTTAACCTGAATCTCAACTTTAACATTCTCTCCAGGAACGTATTCACTATCTGCCTGATAAAGTAAATGTTCAAAAGTAAAACTTTCATCTACTTCAAATAGTGCAGCCGGAAGAATTGTTTTATTATCTCGTCTTACTGTTACAAAAGGAAAAATCATTTTTTTGTAACGCATATACTAGTATTACAGAAATTGTCAGCGAATTTAAAATTAAGAGACAATATTATTAATTAACTCAAAGACAGAATACAGGGAGTTGTCTAAAGCCAGATAGTATTTTATATTTGAGTGCCGCCAAAGGAAAAAGTGCCTCCGTTTTTTAGTAAATTATTGATTCAATAATAATTTATTAAAAAACGGAGGCCCTTTTCCCTTGGCGGCACTCATGATTTTAATCTATTAATCAATTATAGTAATCAATTTTAAAACTACTTGGGCTTAGACGATCCTGAATTTCCTGAATATAGTAAGCGTATTTATTATAAACTGGTTTACTAATTAAAGCAGTGAATTGATATTCTCACGAGGGCGTTTTTTACTTTTGTAATATTGACATATAATTTTTTTTTTTATATTTATTTATTTTATTTTATTAATTGTTTAATTTTTGGGGGGAGACCTGTAAGTGGAGGGGGGGATAACGTTAAACGAGGTTTTAATTTCAAGTCGCCTTATAATAAAGCTTATTTCAAACTTTATATTTAAATTATCCTCGATATAACGAAACTACCATAAACGGCCGAATACAAATTCCTCCTAGATAGTAGACCTACTATGTACTATGCTCGGGTCTACAATATGGATAAGTTTTGGTAAAATATAAAAGACCCGGGATATACAAATAGGAAAAATTAAGAAAATAGAATAAACCTTCCATTTATCAGACCCACACCCATACAAGAGACCTGCGGGTCTAATTATAGGTTTTAAAATTGGTGAAATATAACAGACCTGGGCCTTATATCTGGCCATTTATAGTACGAATAAATCTCCAGCTCCAGAGCTTCGTTATATCTAGGTTATACTGAATTTTGAACAAGTAGAAATTTGATGTTGATCCCATTCGAAAGTACAGTATGTCCCTATTAAATATTAGCAAACTCGACCATAATTTTGTAAAATAATTATCCATCGTTGATAATATCATTCATTAAGTTACGGTATATCACAAATTTCGTATTGAAGTGTCATGTCGTTTTGACGAGTCATATAACTATTACTAGTACTAATTATGCGACTTTTATATGCTGCATCCTTGTGAATAGGAATGACTGGCTTCCATTCCATAATGTTATATATCATAGTTGCATGATATGAATTATGCAATTCCTGCCGTAATTTCGAATCATAATGACCATAATAGTATTTCATTTGATACTCATTAAGTGTTAATCCCTCCAAATAACCAGATGAAGTTAAAAAAATTTTTAATTTTTTTGACATGGATATTTACCTATAATATTTTGATAATTATCCAAAGTACACCTACATAATAATTGAATAGAATCTAATACTACGTTTATGGCTGGACGTTTTAAAGAATCTTGATCCCAGCATTTCCTTAGCATATCATTATAAGTTGGAGGTGCAAAATGACACGTCTTTGGTCGAAAGCCCTTAAAAATATCTACTATTAAGTTTACATCATGTGCTCTGTTCGAATATGCAGGAATTCCACAGGCTATTTCCCATAAAATAATACCTAGGCTATAAATGTCTCCTGCTTGAGAATATGGAGATTGAAAACGAAGTATCTCAGGTGCAATATTTGGTATGACTCCATAAATTTTTTTATCAAGCTTCCGCGTTTCATTTACCGGTTAACATAAACCAAAATCTGAAATAAAGGCATCTTCTTCATTTAATAATAAAACATTTCCGCTATGAAGGTCACCATGTACCCAACCTTTAGCATGAATATTTCGAAGTTCTACACATATAGACTTTGCTATATTTAATTTGTTTTCTAGAGTAATTTTTCTGCAAAAATCGTCGAAGATCTCCTTGTGGTGCATATCGCATTACGAACATGTATTGTGATGTCAAAGGATCTTTAGTAACTCCGTATAAATGACAACAATTAAATTGTGCTTGAATCTGCATTTAAAATGACATTTGACTTAATATTGGTTATTAGCATATTTAAAAATCAAATGTTTATACTATATAGTCCGGTGCAAAAAGATTTGCACACTAAATAAAAATTAATTAAAAATTTTTTTAAAAAATATAATTTTTAGATTATAGGAAAGAAAAAAATAACTTTTATTTAATAATTTTATATATAAAATAAAAAATTTTATTAATAGCAACTTGTTTCAATACTAAAATTTACTAAATTTTATATACTTTATATAAAGTTAAAAAAAGCTATCAAATGAACAATCATTATTTACACAGAATTTTATTATTACAATTGATATTAAGCTTTTAAGTAAAGTTGTTCTTTGGCTCAAAAAAATGCTAGTTTCTTAAGACATATTTTATTATTTTCTTAGCAAAGTTTTTTACTACAATAAAAAATCTTTCAAAATGTATATAGTAAAATGTATAAAATACTTTAAATTTTTAAAATTAAATTTCTTAAAAACTACTGCATAGAATTTTTTAAACTTTTTTTTTATCTAAAAGATATAATTTAAAAGAACTTATTATTTTGTTTTTAATTTATGATTTTGAAAACTTAACTCAGTATATAGAATTTAAGTAAATTATACTATTTTTAATACGTTTTTTTAAGCTAAATTAAATGACTTTGAAGCTTAATTTCTCTATAACTTGTAATTCAAATTTAATAAAATTTATATAGTATATTTAATATATTTACACCAATACACTTGCATAGTACAAGTCTGCTACACTGCATATTTAACCTAAAAATAGCTAATATATAATTGTTTTAAAAAAAACAGAATTTATTTATTTTTAAAAATAAAGTTTTATATTATTAATAATTAAAATATTTCTATAATATAATTATAAAAATAATATAATTAGTTAATTTCAAATATATTCTAATAAATATAAAAAAATTTACATATATACTATTAATAATTTATTGATTTTTAATTATAATAAAAAATTAGTTTAAATTTGGTGTGCAAATCTTTTTGCACCGGACCATATCGTATAAAAAGTTAAGTAGATTACATAATAGTATCTATTTTAGTTTTATAAAAAGTTTTTTTTTTTGCTAATCTATTAATAAAAATATCTTTTTAAAATTACAAATTAAATAAAAATTTTTATTTAAATTAAACATAGGCTAGCATATAAGTTACATGTCAGATATTGATAATTTACTAATATTTTCTATTTTAACTAGTGTTAATTATATATTGGTAGGTATACTTTGATTCCAATGAAATAAATTATGAGGATCATAATTTCGTTTAATTTCCACTAGTTTTTCAAAATTTTCACCATAATATCTATATTGCCAATTATCTAATTGTCTATCAATTAAATTTTGATAATTTTCATAACTAGCATAATTATGTTGAAAATGTTGGGAAAAACTTTCCACCTCTTGTAAACATATTTCAATATCCGTTTCAGATTCCATGATCGTTTTCAATTCTATATGGAACAAAAAATCCCTGTGAACGAATGCAGTTTCATTTCGCCCAATCTCATTAACTTTTCCACCACCAATTAGCATTACCGCACTGGATACTTGACATGTAAAACTTTCATGAAAACTCATTAAATCCTTAATTCCTTCATAAGACAACCCTGTCAAATCAACGAAAAAAGATTTTACTTTAAAAAAACCAGGATCTTGTGAATTTTCTGGGGCTTGAACAAGTGCATTATAAAAATCACTTTCAGTATACTCTACACTTTGAGGTTTAGATAATTCAATAAATTCTTGTATATGGGATTTTAATTCACTTGCAGATCCTAGATAAGTCCCATGAATGTGGGCTTCTTGTTCAAGTATGATGATTGATAAAGTTATATTTTGATGAAGATTACTTCCCAGTTGATTTACTGCTGAAAATAATAATGGAGTTTGATCGAAATCATACCACAACCTTATAGTAGTTGTGATATTCAGGATAGGATGTATCCTGATGGTTAAAGCTGTAATAATGCCATATCCAGCATTTCCTGCACCTCGAATAGCCCAGAGAAGTTCAGGATAATTTTTAGCATTGTAAATTATTGTCCCGTTTGCTAAAACAATTTCTGCATCAAGAATATTATCTGACGACATTCCAAATTTTCGATTGAGTAATCCCATACCCTATTTAAAAAAAAAGAATAGTTAATGTATGTAGTTTTTTTATAGGTAAATATAAAAAATACTATATAGTTAGTGCATACGGAGCATGCAATAACGGTTTTATTTTATGATTTACTATTTCAGATTTATGAAATAAGTCAATTATTTTATCATATAAAATACCATAAAATAATTGATTTATTTTATAGAATGATCATAGTAAAGCATTAAATAAATAATAAAATTTCCAACAATGCTTACACCACCCGTTATATGACCACCAACTCCAGTATAAGGACAAGTTCCAGCTGGAAATGCAAATCCATACTTATTCACTTCGTAATATAATGGGTCTAATAAATTTCCTGGTCCGATTACAGCAGTTTGAGAGGTTACATCGATGGTAATTTTATTCAAAGCTACAAGATCAACAACTAAATAACAATTTTTATCACCGATTCCATATCCTTCATAAGAATGACCACCTGATCTTGCAACAATAGGTAAATTTAATTTTACTGCACATTTAATAGCACTTTGAACATCAAATACATCTATCGGATGAACAAATGCTACTGGAAAATGCATAACAAGTCTATTATATTCTATGTTAAGATCTTTACTATAAGCAGTATAGTTATCTCGAAAATTGACATCCCCTTTTACATGATATTGATCAAGACACTTTCGAAGAGTATCTTCCTTTGGACATTTACTAACTGGAAGATATGAAGATGCATGAATAGTTGCAATAAAAAAGTATATAATGTACAAATATAAAAACATTTTCGAGAAAATATTTATAATAGTTGTTCTTAACATATATTGTGAGCAAAAAAATTTTCTTTAAAGTATCTTTTAATACTCTAGAAATGCTACAATTTGTTTATTATCAAAAAAATCTATATTGTAAAAAAATATATATATTAAATATGCTTAGACTGCTTCAAACTATAGGAAATCAGGAAGCCATTAAGGCTTAGTTTATCCCAACAAGGAGGCATGGGATAATTGAAAGCTGGATGATTTATTAGCGTTGTGAAATCAGCTTATAAAAAAATTAGGCTGTTTACTGTATTAAAATCAAGTGGCAAAACCATCATCATGAAAGTTTTCCCTATGACTCCAAAGCCTTATTTTTTTTTATTTTTTTTTTTAAATTGAAACTGTAAATGTGTGTTACGAGCCCAGGTCTATTTCATTCCGCCACTTTTTAAAGTGCATACACACTTTGTGCTTATAATAGGTAGTCTAACTATTGAAAAAAGGGGCGCATTTAAATAATAAATATTTTGTAGTTCGCGGCTGGGTCTACTATTTTGGAGGATCTTGTATGTATATGCACATTTGGTATGTTTTGTATACAAGCTTATTATTGTTTATGCTGAGCAATGGCTTCAAAAGTTTATAAAAATAAATAAACTTATTGTTTGTGTTCGAATGTTTGAAATGCATTATTATATAACTGCATGCACTTTACTCATTAATAAAAATGTTTTCATTATTAACAAACGAAATAAATTTTTTTATTACATAAGATTGTCCAATTGATTTGTGTTATATCAAAAGTCTCAAATATAAGCAACCCTCTAAGCCATCCATTTTGGCTGATTTTTTAAGAGTTGCTAAATTCAGTAACTTTGAAATACTCAATTACTATTAGTAATCTCGTTATTTTATTTTTTTAGTATTTTAACATTAAAATTGAGACATTTCTTATTTTCGGGGATTGCTTATACTCGGGACTTTACGGTAATAAAACAAGTTTTTTAAGAAAATGCCCAGGGAGTTTGAGTGGTTTTGATTTGTATTACTGTTTGATGTTTAAGGTTGTTATGTATTGGTTTAGTGGTGAAGTTAATAATAGGGGTTTGTTGTAATAAGAGAGGGTAGATTAGGAAAATAGATGGTCTGATTGTACTGTGGTTTTTTATTTTGGAGGAGTGAATTGATAGTATTATGTAATAGGTATGTGATTTGTTCGTATAAAGGGGTATGATAAGAATTTTGTATTACGTATAATGGGATTTATGTTATTGATCGGGTTTTTATATACTTATTAAAATATGTATAGATCAGGGCTTAAACGATTATATTGAGATGCTGGACATTCAAAGGTGTTATTCTTGATCTACGGTATACTAGAATTAAATTACTGGTATAGTGAATAATAAGATGCATAATAGGATGCAGGATTACTGATTTGTTGAATTAAAAAAATTATTTTAAACAATAGTAGTGGCGTAGTAAATGTCTGGCAAATTAATATAGTCGTTTATGTTTATTGTGGTTTAGCAATAATTAAGTTATGTTTTTTGATTTGAGGAGTTTAGAGGGTTTATAATAGGGTTTAATCTATAGTATTAATTTGCAGTCATTTATTGGGCCATTGTTATTTTTTAAAGTGGTTTTCTTGATGGATCGAAATTTTTACTATACCGGCGAATTATTAGTTGATGTAGTATAGATCGTGAATGGTATTTTTGAATGGACGGCAAATCATTATAGTGGGTTAACCCCTGATATGTAATAATAAGTGTGTTACGAGTGGTTATGGTAGGTGATACAGTAATGTACGACGTAGTTGTGTGAATTTAAGGAGGTATGATGGTTTCGATGAGAATGTTGATGTATTAGTATGGGCTAGTATGTTGAAATTTTTATATGGTTTAGTAAGAGATTTAGGTATACAGAGTTAGATATTGATATTGTTGAATGAAAGTGATTTTTTTTTTGTCTGAGTGTAAGTATTAATTAATTGTATATATATTGGTTAAATAGATGTTTTAGGGATTAATTGTTGTTTGAGTTGGTGTATAAGCGGAAGAATAGGACGATTGTTTACTTGTAGGTAATTGTAATTTATATTTGCGGCGTGAGGTTTGCTGTATAAGTTTTATTAATGGTTTAAATTTATTTAAGGGTGTTATTAAAAAAAAAAAAGAAAAAAAAAGTTAGTATTTAAGATATGGTGAGTTTAGAAAAAGAGAGTGTGTGTAGAAGTAATTATTAGATGAATAATAAAGAATTAAAAATTTTTTAAAAAAAGATACTATTTTTTGGTTTAATTTGTCTTTTTGTTGATTGTTTCATGTTTGTAAGTTTAATTAAGGTTTATGTTATTTTAGGTGCGTATTTTTGTATTATTAATGATGTGGTTCTAAATATGATTTTTTGTAAGATGTATATATTTTGAGAAGGTTTAGTAGTTTGGTTTGTTAATGGTTATTATTTGATATTAGTGTATTTAATCCTCTTGATAATTCAGAAAGTCTCGCGTATTCTGTTATTACAGTGCGATCAGTTTTTATAGGAAAATTTCTCAACAACCAACTATGCAAATTCTATGAATTTTTTTTTATTTTAATTCTCTTAATTCACAGAATTAAAATAAAAAAATTTTTATCGAATTTGGATAATTAATTGTTGAAAACTCTTCATTAAAAGATAAAAAAAAAATTTGGCCACAGCTTTTTTTCACACGTGCTTAAACTTTGAATGAATATTACTTGACCTTACCCCAAATTTTGAGCAAATTTTTTTTATTTTAATTATATAAAGTTGCAGAATTAAAATAAAAAAATTTGCTCAAAATTTGGTCAGGTAAGGTCAAGTAATATTCGTTCAAAGTTTAAGCACGTGTAAAAAAAAGCTGCGGCCAAATTTTTTTTATCTTTTGAAGATTTTTCGACACCTTATCATCCAAATTCGATAAAGTTTTTTTTATTTTAATTCTGTGAATTAAGAGAATTAAAATAAAAAAAAATTCATAGACTTTGCATAATTGGTTGCCGAGAAATCTTCGCTTAAATTTATAAAAAGAAAATTATTGGCTTTTTTCTAAGGCATTCAAATTATTTTTTAAAATTTAAGTGTAGATTTTTCGACACCTATCTATCCACACTCGATGAATTTTTTTTTATTTTCATTCTATAATAGCACAGAATTAAAATAAAAAAACTTTTACAGGATTTTATCAAGTAATCATCGCTAGAATTTTCAAAAATCCTTTAACATGTATATTAATAGTCGCACGATTTACGATTGTTACACGATCTGCATTATGCATAACTAAGCTGCAAAATGCAGTGCAAGTTGCCTAAAATTCATCAATAATCACTTTATAGACACTTGCTCCTATCAAAATCAATAGCCTGCGAAATCCAATAAAAAATAAATCTACCAGGTCTGTTTCCACTAAATAAATCTAATAATTTACGTTTTCGAATCCGATAACCTCAGTAATAATACAAAATCTGTTCACTGCATATAGGTTTTGAGAGGTCCACATATATCATACAGAATTAAATAATGTATCATGTTACATCTGTGATGTAAAGCTAAAAAAACTTGCATTCTCACGTCTCTGGGTAAGCAACACGAGAACCCACTAGGCTCCGCAGCAATGGCAGGATAAGGGACCTTTCATTTGATACTCAGCACCGATAGACTGTAAAAATATTTTTTTGGTTGAGCTTCATGGCCATGGGTGGTGTGGGGCCCGTTCCGGACCCTATTGACGAATGATGGAATAGTTTTATGATGACAAAACCATTTCATCAAGCAACCTTTAATTGACAAATGACGAAGCTCGTGACGACAAAATACGTGACGAATGGACGAAAACCATAACGAATCATAGAATTTATATGTAATATATAGCATTTTGACGTAATGATAAGGAAAGTAAAATGCGTTTTCTTTTGGAAACTTGTGCACGATCGTACTGGTTCTGCGCGGCGTCACGCGCTGCGCAGCTGCCCTAATTGTTAAATCCCTTCGAATAAAGAAGTGCCTAAAAACTAGCGCTTGTAAGGTTATTAAATTTCTAAATTTCTAACTGCGAATGTCGATCATGTGATGACTCGAGGCAAAAATTGCTCCGACGTTTCTATATCGGGCAATTTTAAATTCAGGTCGTAAAGAAACTTGTAATTAAAATAAGTTAAAAAGGTTTTCCAATAACTTCAAAAATTTTTTTATAAAGACCAAATATATATATATTATAGTTTAAATTTAACTCAAAAGAAGGATTTAAAAAAATCTTTGTGTTCAATATCGATATCACTAACGCTAATTTTATGAATTTAAAATTATGTATATTTATAAACGCAGATCATCAGACATTTCGCTTGACCGTTATCTATAACCGAGGATATTTTTTTGATTTTTTTTTTGAATTTAGAGATGGTATCTCGTTTTTTCTTAGAAAGGATCATTTAAAAATTTAGTAATTTGAATTTAACTGCTTGCCCTTGGTTATAACTGAACTCACTCTTCGAAAGACATTTTTTAGGGGTCTATTTTTTATACCTCCAAATTTATTATTCATACCCACCTGCATATTAAAAAAAAATTTTTTTTATGAAATCTATGGAATCATAGAGTTGAAACAAAAAAAAATTCATCAAATTTGACTTGGTAGTTTCTGAGATATCTTCTCTCAAAGTTTTAGAAAAAATCAAAACGCCTATCAAAACAAATTGTACTAAAATTTTGAGCGAAGATATCTCAGCAACTACCAAGCCAAATTCGATAAACGGTTTTTTTTTATTTGAATTCTGTGGGCTCATATAATTGAAATAAAAAAAGTTCGTCGAAGTTGACTTTGTGATTGCCGAAATACTTCGTTCAAAAGTTTTAAAAAAAATTTAAAACGCTTATCAAAACAGAAACTACGCAAAATTTTTTAAATTTTGAGTGAAGATATCTTAGCAATCACCAAGTCAAATTCGATGAACTTTTTTTTTATTTGAATTCTGTGAATTCTTAGAATACAAATAAAAATAATTCATCGGATTAGTTGCTGAGTATCTTCGTTCAAAGTTTTAAAAAATTCAAACCGTTTATCAATACAAAAGCTGCACCAAAATTTTTCTAAATTTTGAGTGAAGATATCTCAGCAACCACCAGACAAATTCGATGAATTATTTTTAATTGAATTCTATGAATCCATAGAATTCAAATAAAAAAAGGTTACCATAAAATATGGAGAATAAGACAGCACCCTCTACCCTACTTTTTTCAATTTCAGATTAGCGGAAATAGCAATAAAATCTTTATCTGAAATTGAAAAAAGCAGGGTAGAGGGTGCTGTGCTTATTTTCCATATTTTACGGTAATTGAATTTGATCTGATAGTTGCTGAGATATCTTCGCTCAAAGTTTGAAAAAAATTTTGGCGTATCTTCTGTATTGATAGACGTTTTACACTTTTTTTAAAAATTTTAAACGAAGATATCTCAGCAACCACAAAGTCAAATCTGATAAACTTTTTTTATTTAATTCTATGAATCCATGATTTCGAATAAAAAAGGTTTATCGAATTTGGCCTGGTGGTTTCTGAGTCATCTTCGCTGAAAGTTTAAAGAAATTTTAGTACAATTTGTTTTGATAGGCGTTTTGATTTTTTAAAACTTTGAGCGAAGATATCTCAGAAACTAACAAGTCAATTCGATGAACTTTTTTGTTTCAATTCTATGAATCCATAGATTTCAAATAAAAAAAAGTTCATCAAATTTGACCTAGTGGTTACCGAGATACCTTCACTCAAAGTTTTAAACATGTTTAATCTGCAGGGTGTAATCACCTTTTTTTTATTATTAAATTTTTATTATTAAACTAGACTGGTCGAGCAGTTTAACAACCTCTAGTTTAGCATAATGCGAAATGTAGTTGTGGTAAACCCTACAAAAATATAATCTCTACGAAATGCAGGCATATAAATTTTATGAAGATACAACGTTTAAAATTCTTGGTTTTCATTCATCACCAATTTTTCTAAAAATATATAATTTTCTTGACAAGGCTGTGTTCAAGATTGAATCATATATCAACACACCCTACGTTTATCTTCTCCTTTTCTTCAGCATGTCGATCGCGAAAATATTTACATCGTTGACGAAGTTCATCCCTATCTGTCTTTGCACATTCCAATTCATTTACCACATCTTCTGTTGTCAATTCTCTTTTCTCCATAAACACTTGATTCGATTGGAGTTATCGCATCGCGTCCATATACAAGGTATCAAATATGAAAGAATATTGATATCTTGGTTGATATTTTTTGATCGTTGCTTTCTGCTGCGATGGCGACAAATATTTTCAGCCATATGAATGTTTAATTGCGCGTTAAAGACGATGGTAAATGAATACATTAGAGGAGCGGTCTAGATAATAAATGTAACAGTGAACGATTTGAGCTATTCCTCATAATAACTGATATAACGTGTCAAAGTACAAATATTCTGTGCCGAGATGATTCTGAACCTTTGTTGCAAATCTCTGGGGTACCACCTGTGTTTAAAATTCGATTTTGTTTCAATGTGCGGAAAGCTTATAATTTTTGTAAACATAATAAAAATTCAATAAAAATTCAAAAAAAAAGATGTGTGACATGTCTGACAACATAATAATCCGCAGATTCAAAGAATATTTTACTTGCTGAATTAATTTTCAATCTGCACACCGCAGATTCCGCATATAGATTTTAAACACTGCAGAGGATAAAACTAGAAGATATTTAACCATGCCAGCAAGACTGCATTATGTTGGAGTAAGGAGCCATGTACTAGCTTGACATCCCAGCATACCCTATTTCGCAGAGAACTTTGAGGTACAGCCATTGGTTGATAAATTATGACATCTACAAGATGGAATGCATAGACACTATTTTTCATGAAATATTTTGCAAGTTCTGATAAGGTTATAATTTAAATTTCTTGAGGATCGAAGATTGATCGCGCCATTTGCATGTTCTTTCAGCTGCGTTGACGAAACTGACGAAAGGTGACGAAAATGGCGAAGTTGTAAAACTAATAAAAGGCAAAGATACAGATAAATGTTGTTGAAACTCATTGAAGATAACATAAAAAATAAACAAAAACTGAAATTTATAAAATTTACAAAAATTTTATTATATAATGGGTGTTTGAATTGTTTAAAGGGAGTTAGAAATGATGATTCTATATTGTATTATACTAACTACATATCAGTTCTAGTGAGAAATCACTTGATGCTTACTTTGTGATCTTACAAATTTATCCACGAGTACTATGAATTTTTGACAAAGTTATTTCAACCAGCCTGTAACAACCCTAAAAAATGAACTGGATTATTTTGCTGGCTTACATATAATTTCGGATAATGATCTCTGGATAAATTATGAATTTTTGTTAAATGAAAATAATTTCGTTTTTAAGAATTTGGGATTTCGTCTTCTCATCACGTAACAACTATAGATACGATAATACCATAGAGTTCATTTGTTTACCTGAATTAAACAGGATGGCCTAAGTTATAACTCAAAACTAACCCTTACCTAGGCCAAATGATTGTCATGTGATATTATGATGATCACCGTGTTAACTGTTGTTGCAACCGTGGGAGAGACTTGGCTGACATGAGGTCAAATTAGCTCAGGGTTACAAGCATAGGTTATGCGAGATGAATGTTCATTAGGGATTCGGAATTAATGATAATGGGTTATTAAGGTATGTATTTATTTATTTAGTCATTTAGTCGGAGCAAAGAGTTCAATTATAACATCATAATATCATCCTGCTCTTTATTATTATAAGCGTTGTATTTATACTTTTCAAATTCTAGTGGTCTTGGACCAAGATCTGTGGTCTCAGACCATTATCGGTGGTCTCAGACCAAGATCTGTGGTCTCAGACCAAGATCTATGGTCTTGAGCCATGATCTGTGGCCCTAAACCTAGACCATACACCCACTTAATAACGAAACACAAGAAAAATATACACGTGGGAAAATTTAACAAAAAATTTTACAACACTGTCCTTCAATCTAGGGTCCGTAACCGGGCCGGGCTACCCGGGACCGAACTCGACCCGATTTGCAAAAGTTCCGGGTCGGGCCTGTATTTTTAGGCCCGTAATTATATTGAACTGGGCCCGATAGCCTGACCCAGCTATGTACTAAGCGGGTTTTGGGCCGGGTCGGGTTTAAAATATTTTTGTCGGGCTTATGAAACCCGGCCCGACCCATTACGGACCCTACTTCAATCTACCCCAACAATGTAAAGCCGTTCTTCTTGCTCAGCATCAATTCAGTCAACTACGATTTAATTGATCCAGACATCTGGACAAGTTGCTTCAAGAGATAGTAATATTTTTATTTGGGATACTCGAATAGTTGGCATGCAAACACCAGAAGGAGAAACGCTTTACAAGCCTGTTAACAGCATTAGATCACCCATTCAATCACCCATTCATTTGATAATCCAAAAAAAAAAAGACGAGGAAGATCTCTTCCACATAGGAGTAAACCAACTAGCAGTGTAACTGGGGCGCAATTCTTGAAACATCAAGAACATTTACTGGTATCTTCTGGAGCGATTGATGGTATAATCAAATATGGAATTTACGAAACCACGGTAATGAAAAAGCCTCACTACCAGTTTAAATTTCAACTAATGGCGCAACCGCTAAGCGGTCTCATGGTTGTTCTTGCTCAATTCCCAAAAGTTATTTACCCACCAACTCATTTCTCCGACACCGTAATGCCGACATGCTATTTCATCTACAGTACATTTTTTTAATAAGACACAAAT